GAATGATGATCTCCAGGTCCATCCATATTACTGCAAATGGCATTATTTTTTATGGCTGAGTAGTATTCTGTTGTATAAATATACCACAACTTCTTTAACCAGTCCTCTGTTGATAAACATTTAGGTTGTTTCCATGTCTTGGCTATTGTAAATAGTGCTGCTGTGAACATTGGGTGCATGTATCATTTCAAATTAGAGTTCCCTCCAGATATATGCCCAGGCAAATGGTAAGTCTATTTTTAGTTTTTTGAGGAATCTCCATACTGTTTTCCATAATGGCTAAACCAAATTACATTCCCACCAAAAGTGTAGGAAGTTTCCCTTTTTCTCCACACCCTCTCCAGCATTTGTTTGTAGACTTTTTAATGATAGCCATCTAACTGGTGGGAGGCGATACCTCAGTGTAGTTTTGATTTGCATTTCTTTGATAATTGAGCATTTTTTTCATGTGCATATTGGCCATTTGTATGTCTTCATTGGAGAATTGCTTATTTAGGTCTTATGTCCATTTTTTTGGATCCAGTTTTTTTTATTTTCAGTCATTATTTGTTCAAATACCTTTTCAATCCCCTTTTCTCTTTCTTTTCCTTCTGGGACCCCTATTATGCATAGATTGAGACTTCCAGTTTCTTGTTCATCTTGTGTCTCTTTCATTTAGAATGCTGCCTAGTACATAATGGCTCAGTCAGTTTGCAGAATAAGTTAGTGATTTCTGGGTCCCACTCTGCTGAGTGCTCACTTTCTGTTATCTCGTTTAATCCTCACAGCAAGCCTAATTGAGGTAAGTTTATTATTGCTATTTTATACCTTAAGGAACTCAAGTACAGAAAGGGTAAGTTGTTTCAGAATTTGCCTGTTGTCTCAGAACAGTTGGCATATCTGAGAATTTAATCCAGATCTGTATGAAGGCACACCCCACATTCCATCCACTTTCTCTGGAGGTCCAAAGAAAAAGGGCTGTTAGGAATGGAAAGGAAAGGAAGATGGAACTGAATCAAGGTAGGTCAGATTGGGGTCGGGGCTCCTGTGGTGGGGCAGGGAATGCAGGGTGTACAGTATAGAACACTAGATCCTAAGTGAAGATGAGAATAATAACAAGAAAAACACTTTGGAGCAAACTTACTTTGTACCAGACACTGTTTTCAAACAATATGTTGAATTCTTTCACTTCTGAGTGGTAGGTAATACCATTTTACAGATAAGGAGACAGAGGTTCAGAGATACTAATTGTCTTCTCCGAGGCCATAGGCTAGGCTGTAGGGGAGCTGGGATCTGACCCCAGGCAGTCTGCCCACAGGGCAGGTACTCCAGTCACTATCCTGCACCACCTCCAGGAGGAAAGTAAACAAGACTCATGAAAGGAGTGTGCTCCGTGTTGGGCACCCACTCCTGCTAGATTCTTGTCTTCTCTGTGGAATGACATCTGCTGACGTAACACTCCAGCCTCCTGGCCTACCTCTTACTGCTCTCCACAGAGGAGGAGACTGACGACAAATGACATCCATGTCACTGCACTGGCACTGGGGCAAGCCCCGTTTTGATCTTCCCTCTTCACCTGGGGGCAGCAGTTCTGGACTGGTGTATCTCCTCTACAGACTCAAACTTTTCCCTCGAGTCAGGTGTCCCCAGGTTTAGACATTGGGGTAAAAAATGGAGAGAGCAAACCCTTCTTGCTAGACATCTAAAACTACATTGTTTTTGCCGCTAAAGCTGATTTGATCTCCAGAATGGCAGGAATGAGCCTAGCAGACCAGACTGCGAGGCTGAAGCACAGGCAGCATCCACTCCTGTCGTAGGAGCCTCAGCCAAAACAAGGGCAAGAGGAATTTGCCTCTCAAAGTGGTAATATTTGCAAGAAAAATGCAAAGTTGAGTAAGTCCAGCCTCTTCCCCACCCCCACCTGCCTACCAAACCCATCCCTTAAAGGCTTGGGGTTCTAGAAATTTCTCTGAAATGTGAACACAGCTCAGAGGCATCAATACCTAGGACTTGTTAGAAATGCAAATTCTCTGGCCCTGCCCCAGGCCCACTGAATCAGAAACGGGCCAGGGTGCAGCATTCTGTTGTCTGCAAGCCCTTTTGGTGATCTAGACACACTAAGAATTTAAAAAACACTGCCATAGGTAACATCCCTGACCCTGGCTGATGACTGAGCCAAAACGTTCTGCCCCAGAGGTCTGCAAGCCTCTTAAAGTGCTAACATCTCAACCTCCAAACTTCTTGTTCCAGATGGCTTCTTGCACCCAAAAGTAGTACCTACATCTTTATCTGGATGAAAGGCACCAGTTTTGTCATTGGAAAACACTGTCCCTATATTTATCTAGAGATTTCATGGAGTTTTGAGACTGGGCCAGGGCCCTTTCCTATCACACACAGCCATATGGGGAGAGTTGTTCCAGGGTGGCCTGTGGCCTGTCCCAGGGCTTTGAGAAACCAGAGGGGTGCCCGATTCGCGGTATGTGTGTGCATGTCTACATCAGACTCATCTTCAAAACTACTCAAAAGGTACATTCTCCACAACATTGTGTAGAAGCTTAATGCTACTGAATTGAATAATTTAAAATGGTCAGTTTTGTATATTTTATCACAAGGTGGGGAAGGGGGCATCCTACACAAAGCCTGCCCAGAGGCCCTGTCTCCAAGGCCAGGCATTTTGTACTTAGCTTTAACAGAGCTCTCACAGCAGGCATTGGAAATACTGGTTTCTGAGACAGTGTCCCTCTTTGAGATCAAGGATCATTCCTTCATTGATTAATTCAATTTATATTTCTATTTGTTGAACACATACTATGTGGAAGACCCTAGGTCAGCACTAGAATCCAATGATGAATGAGATACAGTCCCTGCTCTCAGGGAACTTAGTCTGGTGAGGCAGATAAAACCAAGTGAACAGAGTCATTACTAACTGTGCTACAAGTTTAGGAAAACAAACCGAGTGCCTGGCTGGAAGGTAGCAGCCCATTTCACAGAGACATGTGGAAGACCTTCTTGAAGAGATGCTGCAACATGAAGAAGAAAAGGCGCCAGCAAAGCCAGGGTGGCACGGAAGAGTGCTCCAGGTGAAGGATGCCACGCGGGCAGAGACCCAGAGGTGGGAAAGACGGCGCAGGTGTCAGGTGAGCAACAGTGAAGACAAACAGTTCACTTTGACTCTCTTGATCAGCTGTTTTTGCCTCTGATATATTCTGGGGCCAGCAGTGGATGACCAGCTGTGGAAACACCTTTGGCACTTGACCACTAACACTAGACAGTCTGATGAGAAAGATGAAAAGAATTGCTGTTCACTCAGATGGTTTGTTTTCACATGCCAGTCCTTCCCCAGGAGGGGCTGCTCATGCCTTGATGGTAGCCTGTGTTGAGAGCCTGGTGTCCAGCTCAGGGAGGGCAGCATCTCCAGGTGTGCAGAGACCAAGGTAGTGTGCTAGCCTATTTTGACTAGAAGGCACTGGAGTTGTTCAACCTGGGTTCAAATTCTGGCTGTCCTCATCAACTGTGTGACCTGGGGCATCTGTCCATAGCCTCCCCTCATGTGTAAAAGTGGAATGTTGTGAGGCTCCAGTGAGATAATATGTTTTAAACAAGATGACATCTGAGAGGTACTCAATGGTGATTTAATTATTATTATGTAAAAAAAAAATGGATCCCACCACTTCTCTACTGCTTAGAGTGAAATGAACTGTTCTACAAACTTCGTAAGTGTGAGAATAAGCGGACCTCTTGGACGGCATTCAAACAGCACTCAGACCTTTTGTCCAGATCACTGTCACAACAACTTGAGTAACAAACAGGGAACCAAGTAGTCAGGGTTGGAGCAGGTGCTTAATCACCATCAGGGAAGAACACCCGAAGCATTTGCTGTTTCTCCAGGAAAGTTATTTGTGGCAGGCATGCTAGTTGCCTACTTGAAACTCATTCTCCTTTTCTTGAATTAAAAAACTCCTGATTTTCTTTGGGGCAGTAACAGACCCAGGTAAGAGGCTTCCTCATACTCCCCTGCCTCTAGGAGTGGCCATACGAACCAAGCCTGGCCAGTCAAAAGTGAGCAGAAGTTACTGGGAAAGCATTTCAAAAGAAGACTTGGATGGAATCTGCCTTTTATTTTTCCTCATTTTTCCTATTTAGAATGGGCATGTGAGCCTGGGTATGCAGCAGCCATGTTAAGAACATGAGGATGAGGACTAAATGCTCCTTCAGGCTTGCTGTTCTGCTCTCTTTGCATAAACTAGCCACAGCCGCTGGCTTATTGCCTCTGGACTTACTGCTAAATGAGAAAAAGTGAACTGCTGTTTGATTAAACTTCTGTGGTTGGTTTTCAATTATATGTAGTCAAACACAGTTCTAACAGAAAGGGCCAAAGCGGCATTCACTGCTAACCAAGACATACAGACTGTTTCTTTAGCCAAAGACAAAACTGATATGCAACAATATTACTGGGTTGGGTATATTTTCCTTTCAAACCCGTCTGAACCTAGGGTATGTGGGAGTAGCATTGAAAAATGGACCAAGAAGGCATTCTTCAAATTGCAGTGCTTTTATTAGAATATTATTCATTGCAGATTAAAGAAAAAAACCACACTTGTGGAAAAAAGAAAGGACTCAGAAATGCTATTACAGATTAGGCAAATTAGTAGGAGGAAAAAGATTTCTTCAGTGTATATAAAATGTAAACATTTGCCCTGGGATTCCCCATAAATGGCACAGTCCACAAGGACGTATTTGGAATAAAAATGTCTATCAAGTCTCCAGTACTAGCCTCTATAACGTCTGCAAACTTGGTACACTGAAGTTAAAAAGTTACTAGCACATTCCAGATTTTCTATGCAAAAAAACAGTGGTCCCAATCAAGGCAACTTGAACATCAACTGCTACATGAGAAAGCAGAGGCACCAAAGCAAATCACTCTTCCATGATGATCTGCCACTCACTAGGTTAACTATTTACATTTACCTGGACAGATTACAAAAATATACACAGTATATAAAACCACTACTTGAGTCTGGTGGAAAATGAAAGATTTCTTTCTCAGACACTCCAAAGCACAGCAAGTCAGTCACTTGAACTTAGGGAGAGAAGACTAGGAAGAGGCCCTCTTCTGTTGAGAAAATGGGGACTCATAAACATCCATGGGTGGGCAGGTACACACCAGGTGCTGATCTCCATAGATGTCATCAATTCGGGCAATGGTTGGCCAGAATTTGTTCTCCGGTTTCACAAAGGGCTGCAGGGGACAAAAGATGGAGATGTTCTGGGAGAGTCTGAGAGGCTTCTCTTAGAAGGAGGAGAATGCAACAGCCCCACAGCCTCAGATACAATTAGCCCAACACGTACTCAAAAATTATTGTAAGATGCTAAAATCCAACCTTCATTACTGTCCCCCATGTCCCTACCCCACCAAACACTGCAGAGAACCTTTTTCATAGGAGAATCAAAGGAAAGACGGCATGTGTTGCATTTGGAGCCGTATCCCTAGTGGACGATGGTAGAAAACATTAATCCACTTAACCAACTCCCATTTGGTCCTCCTCCACTGTGCCCCCTGAGGATGCCCAGGCCTGTGGTTGACACTCTCACCCTGACCTCAGAGCTCCGAAAGCCAGTTCCTGTGTTCTGCAACGGTGTCCCACATACTGTTACTAGAGCGAGGAGACAGCAAGAGTGGAACCGCTCCAAGCGGGTGATGGCCCCTCATGTACACATGAGCCCAAACCAGCCAGCACGTCCAGCTTCAGAGGAGAACTTACGAGTGGGAATGCTGCCACCTCTCTGGAATACGGCCGATCCCAGTGGGAGGACGTGACGCAGGTCAAGGAGTGTGGCGACATCTGAGACAGAGACATGGGTGGGAGAGGGGTGAGAGCAGAACACGGCCTTCCCCTCCTGCACTGTACGTCAACCACTGAGCTGCTGATGGAAGCCCGTGGCTGCTGGTTGGTTTCAGTTTAGGGGGAAGGAAATCTTCATAGGAATTTTTTCATTGTGGAATATTTCAAATAGAAAGTTATAAAATAAGCACATATACCACCCAGCATAAATCAGTATGTGTCAGATTTGCTTAACCTTTTCAAATAAACATTACAAACACAGTTGAAGCTGCCTGCATTTCCCCTCTCCATCTTATTGCTTGCCCTCCTCCCCAGTGATAACCAGTATCTTGATTTTGGCTGTCACCAGTCTCAGTTTTTATACTATTACCGCCTATGTTAAACAGCATAGAGCACAGTCTGGTATACTTTAAACCTTATATCCTGTGAGTGGTAGTCTCCACTTCTTTTATATCTCAATGTTAGGCTCTATTGCCATTTTTTTAAGCCTAAATCCTGAAAGAATCAGCAGTACCAAGAGAAAAGAGAAACAGTAATGAGAGCAAATCATCCTGTGTTCCTCCACTGCCCCGTCTCACCGAGCGAGGTGTCGGCCTCCTGCCGGCCGTTGGCCCCACCACTCCACTTCAGCTGGGCAGCTCTGGCACTTACCTGAGCTTCCCCGAGCATCTCAGACTTGCTCTCTGACTTGGAGCCACAACAACACAACCGCAGCCTGCCGGGTATTCTAAGCTCATGATCCCCCAGCTTAGAAATGTCTGGCCCTAACACGGAACTTGGGGCTCTGACTAGATATAAAATGAACATGTTCTGGAAGAGGAAAGGTAATGCCTAACAGTTTTTTCTTCAGTTCAGGCCATAAACATGGTAAAATATTCAGGCCAAGTACCAATCTGGTTGTTCTAAGAGGTAACTACTCCCATGTAAGAGTTTGTCTTTATCCAGAGTATAACAGATAAATAATCTCAGTAGAGTGCATCAAACAGACACAGAATGGTAAGACTTCCCCAACTAAGTGAGTCCTTTGGCCTCGGCTCCCTCCTTTGGCAACCAGCCAGGTGCTCGTGGGGTGAAGAACTCCCACAACCACCAAACAAATACATAAGATTAAAACATCAGAAATACCCACGTTATACTTGAGTAACTGCTGCTATGTTGATTCAGGAAGACTTAAACTTCCAAGTAATGAACACTTCTTCTCAGAAGAAAGGTCTAATTCTAGGCAAGAATATCATCATCTGATAAGAGTTCAGGAGTTGCCAGCATTGCTATCCAGACATCATTTTCTACTCGCCGGGATGTTTTAGATAAAGTCCCAGAGGCTACGCACCTTCAGGGGGTTGACCCTGGGGTCGATGCGGCCCTCCTCAATGTCGGCGATTTCCTGCCGAATGCTGATCATGGCGTCACAGAATCTGTCCAGCTCTGCCTTGTCTTCTGACTCAGTGGGCTCAATCATGAGCGTGCCGGCCACCGGCCAGGACATGGTAGGGGCATGAAACCCTGCAAGGGTGATGGAACTTATGTCACTAACCTTGACTTTCCCAATCTGGAAGAAGATATCCTCCCCATTTTGTAATTCACCGAAGGAAAACATCTGATAAATTTGCTAATATATGTATCTGGGGATTCATCTCAGCACTGTTTATGAAAGAAAAGCTTAGGAAATAACCTAACATCTGACAATAGATGATCAGTTAAGCAAATTATACTGGGTATCCATACGATAAATATGCAGCCATTCAAAGTATTTATATTTGTTAAATTAAGTAACATTCAAAAATATTAAGTGAAACAGGGAAACTACCTAATGATGATGTCTCGTTTTTATTTTAAAAATGACAAAATGTATATATTTATATTCACTTGATATGTGTATGTATATTTTATGAGGGAAGCTGCCTTAAAGAATAGATACTAAAATTTTGCCAAGAAACAAGACTAGGGTTTTTATTTCACATTGATTATAGCCTACCAAAAGTTAAATAATGAGGTAACAAGTATTAAGGAGCCTGGAGTGAGTCCTACTGTCCTGTTTTACAGATGAGAAAACTGAGGCTTGGCCAGTACACAGAACGCCTTTGCCTTTACGCTGAATACAGGCTGAAGGTGTTTGTGTTTCCAAAAGTTTTCACATGTAAGATGAATCGACAAGACACGTGGTCCAGAGAGAGATTTTCTGCACAAAAGCCAAAAACAACTTTTTCTCAATTCTTAGACTTTATGCTGAAATTTTACAAAATAAAGAACAGCTCCCAGGTTGATAATCCTGTCAACTAAGTTTGCCCTAGAGTGCAATGGTTCCCAAATTCTGGTGTGCATCATTACATGGGGTACTGTAGAGTCATGCCTGCATGCTTTAAGGGATTGTCTTCTCAACATTTTATTAGAAAAATTTTCAAACATTCTGTTAAATTGAAAGGTCTGTAGAGTGAACACCCATACACCATCCCCCCAGATTCTACAATGACACTGTTCGCTTTATCGCGTGTCCGATCTATTCATATCTAATGCATCTATCTTACTTTTGGTGCATTTCCAAGCATGTGGCAGCCATCAGTACACTTCTCCCTTAAACACTTCAGCATGCATATCATTATCTAGAATTCAGTATCTGAATTCAATATCTGTTCACATATTTTTGTGATGAAGTTTACTTACAGTGAACTGCAGAAACCTTAAGTATAACATTTCATGGATTTTGACAAATGCATACAGCTGTGTCACCCAAAACAGAATGAGATTTCTTTTTTTAAACAACAAGCTGATCTCATTACCCATTAAGTCTGACCTCAATTCCATGTGTGAGCAAATTCAGTCTAGTATTTTCTGCTGTAGTGGTTCCCATCTCTGGAACCGTCTGAGTTGCCTTGGAAACAGAGATTCCTGGATCTGGGGCCTGATTCAAGAAGTCCATGGTATGAGTCTTAAAAACTTATATCAGAATCAGGTGATTCTGACCATTATTTAAGTTTGGAAATGTCGGCCCTACAGCAGTGTGCCCCACACTCACCTGATAAGACTTATCCGTGGAGTGCTTGTACATACAGATTACTAGGCCTTACCCCCTGGAATTCTGATTCAGTACGTGTGATTAAGACTCAAACTGTGTTGTCATTTTCTCTGTTGTTTTTTTTTTTTAATTAGCCATTCATTCATTCTCTGACTAAACAAATGTTCTGAGTGCCTTCTGTGTGCAGGCACCTGGACAATTCTGGGCTTAGGGCAAGTGTAGCCATCACTCTATCAAACATCAAAACATCAAGGTTGGAGATAGACGAGAACTTGGAAATACTGGGTGGTAACTTCAGTTACCACCTCCCTCCTACCCTGTCCCCCTACCCCCAACCCATCCCCCTTGCAAATGCTGCTGCAGTCAGATGTGGGATGTGGAAGACACATCGCAGAAATGAAGCCTTACCCTGAATCAGCTGACACTCAGCCATTAGCTGGAAAGCTAAGTCAGGTTACAGGAGCAGCCAAGAGGAGATTTTGAGGAGGTAACTGCTCATTTCACTAATGAAAATCATCTCTCATTTCCCCACTTATTATCATTGTAACTCTGCATAATATCATTCATTCAAGAGAGAAATGAATCACACCCATTATGATACAATAGTAAAACTACTAAATTAAAGTTTTCACATTGCTTATTAAAAGAAATCATTCAAATCATCTTAAAATTCAGATAGGACTCCACATCCATCAAAAGGCAAAGTTCTCCCCAACTTAGCCTTCTTGAGAGTTGAAAGGTCTTTGATGTTACTAATAGTGTCACTAAGAAAATGTATTTTAATAAGGGTTGTGCTCAGTGAACATCCACTAACCATACACAGGCGGAAGGCCTGTGTCTTTCAAAGAAAACCGCATCATCTCTGGGAAGACAATGTGCACCTATTCCTTCATCTCCAGATGCAGCTAAAACAGCTATTCAATGACTGAGGTGGTTATAAAACTCAAATGCCAGTCATCTAACACTCCTATAGGTGGCTCGCTCCACTTCCTTCAGCTTACCTCTCCGTGGACCTTTCCATTTACCAGGAGTGGGACAGGTGGAAGAACTTACCAGAAACATGGGCAGGGAGCAGCAGTCATTTTCTTTGGGATTTTCAAGTTTGTTACCTATAAAAACTTCCGTTCCTAGCTGCCGATGGATTCAAGATGCACCAATTTAATATCTTTCGAAGGGCAATACCAGTGTGGTCATGGAGAAAGTTCTTTCTCTATCCACAGCTCTGGGCTCCCCGATTCAGCCTGTGAATCAGTTTACTACGGTACCTACACATTTGGTCTGTGGTCCACAGCCGGCACAGGCAGCTGCATGAAGGTCAGGAGCCCAGGTTCCCCTACAAGAGGTGATCCCATTAGACCACTCACCGTAATCCTGAAGCCTCTTGGCCACATCCACGGCCTCAATATTTGCAGACTTTTTGAAGGGTCTTGTATCCAAAATAAACTCATGAGCCACATAACCTGTTGAGGAAAATTGTTGCAGCTCAAGGTTAACATCAGCTTGTTATTTTACCCAAACAAATGAGCAAATAAACCAGCTCCTTAATGCGTATTATTGAAGACCAAGAAACCATCAGCACTTGGTGAGTTTACAGTTGACAAAGACTTCATCTGCTCTTACTACCAATAAAATTTTTAATATGTCGGGCCAATATGTGCAATCCTCAGTGCACACCACACCCATGAGCCCGGAGGCCGACGGGAGGTGGGACAGGTGCAGATGCACTGCTGGGACATTCGCAGAGATCCCTGGAGATGAGACTGTTTCTACTCAGAGGAACTAAAACCTACCTGCAACAGTTAAACCTGTCATCACAGGCCTGATCCTTCTGCACAAGGTATTTCCAGAGCTAAAGATCCACTGACAACCTTTCAACAACTTTTCTCCCAATATAAAATAAGTTTCTTCTATGTGTGTAAATACCTACTAAACATATATCCACATACAGAATTTTATGTGATTCTTCAAAGCAACTTTTGAGGGTGTTGGTTTCAGGCTTCAGACTCAGAATTAGAAATAAGAGCTGTCAAACGGCACACCACAAGTGGCAGGGAGCGGATGTGACTGAAGTCTTATAGGGGTCAGTTCACTTTGTTTCAGTTTGTAAACCAGTTGCCTCCCTTGACACAGGATACACCTCCCCGCCATGAGATGTTGACCACCCACCCTTCACCAAGAATAAGCCATCGAGTAAGTCAGCATTTTCTTAAATAGAACAACATTCCCGGGGGGCCTCCAAAATTCTGTGGCCCACAAAACAGATGAACTTCCTTCGAGGAAAATATCTCCTTGTGAGACAATAATGCACTGCTTTCCTGACTCTCTGCAAACTATGAATCTCCTTAGAGGAACTTGAAGTGGACATAACTCCTCAGGTCTGAGAAGAATAGCCCCAGTCATTAGCAGCCCCTGAAGATACAGTCTGTGAACTGCTTTGCTTCTTGTGTAATGAACACGTATGAAAGGATGGGCTTGGTTTGAAAATAAAAGTATGAGCGCCTGAGACTTTGAATATACTGCCACTGTATGTTTTTAAAACACGCTTTCTAACAGTGGTGAGGATTAAATTTGTAAGGAGTGTGATTCTAAAGTAAAAGGTGTATTCAGAGGTAGGTAAACTCAGGGGAAAAGTGCCTGAAAGGCATGACCAGTCGGAATGTTCAGGGGAAAAAACCATGAGATGATTTAAGTCCTCGTCAACGACTAATCTCAGGAATCCTCAGTGCCCTGCTACACTCCCCCATCTGCGGAGCCCAGGCTCAGGCTGTCACCTTTCTTTTCGGAGCCTCTGGCAGCCACCCTGACATTGTGACCACAACTTGAGGAGGAAGGCTAATGAAGTTCCCTGCTCTTCAGAGCACTCAGCCGGCAGGAGGGGAGGTGGAGAGGGACACACGGTGGGGAGGAGTCTCGCTGGCGAGCAGAGAGCAGACTTCCAAGCAGAGGTTCAGTAATAACAGCTGAAAGGCCCCTTCAAGCCCAGCCCAGCCCGGCGCTGCGAACGCTCAGACTGCATCTGCAGCTGCCTCCACCACGGCCAAGTGGTTTGGGAAGAGCTCCATTTTCAAAATGAGGTTCAGATGTTATTTTCTAAATCCATATTCTAATACGTTCAAATGGAAACTGCAGTGGGGTTTCAGCATCCCTCTCTGTCTCTCTCTTTCTACTTGAGCCCCAAAAGGAGTGAAATTTAAACTTGGTGGTTGTCAGAGGCTGGATCCCAGGATGTTTGTCTTTGTTTGCAGTTTTTAAGGAAAAAAGATACACAAACCTTCTATGGCATATGTTGAGTCAGGGCAATTTGAAGTAGAAATTGTATAAACTGATGAGCACAAGTTTTAATTTTCACTGAGTAGGTGTTTCCTCTGGGCCTAACCAAGACTAGAGCTGAGAGTCTGAAAAGATACCAAGTCAAAGAAGCAAGGAGAGAAGTGGGGTGGGATGATGGAAAAGCAAAACAAAAGTGGCTTGGCCCCAAGCTTGAACATCCCCCTCCCGACCCCTCAGATGTTCACGGTCTCCCGAGGTGGAGATGGCATGGGGATGCGCTACGGAAAGATAAGGCTTCCCAAACCCTCCCTGAGAGCAGGGACCTGACTTTACTTGTCCCGCATCCTCCAAGTGACTGCCTAGAAATAAATGGAACTCACTAGCTAATTACTCTATAAAGCTTGGGAGGGCAATCCACAGCCAGTCTAGCTTTTCAGAGGCAATCCAGGGACCACAGTGAACAGAATCAAGACTCCTAACCGTTTCCCTGGGAATGAGATCAGGTTGGTGGGTCCTCTGGTCTCTGGAGTGTCACTTCCCAGCCCCTGGGGTCGATGTCCGCCCACAGAGGCCACCAGGAAGCCTCTTCAGGGACAGGAATTTCCAGGCAGAGTTAGGTTTGTCTAAGGTCAAAAAGGGGTAGGCATTTAAGAAATTAAAACAAAACATCAAGATACTAACAGAGTTGTCTAACTCCACTGCCAGGAACACCATTTAGCTCAGACGTTAAGTCTAGCCTCCCACAAGAGCAGACACCTGTGAATTTTTCTAATTCCTTCTTTAAAAATGCCTCACCTTTCCTGACGTAACTCCTTTCCTTCCTCATCCTAGCAGAATAAATACTATCACTCTTCCCCTACCCCTTTTCTTGCCTATCATCTCCTTGCTTCACAAAACCGTAAGCTTCAACAAGTTTAGCTGGTCAAATCTCTCAAAGAAGTGGTTCGTAAAGAGAAGCCTGCAGTTCATTAAAATTATTGCCTCATAGTCATCCATAATTCCAAAGTCTTTAGAGCTGGTAAACGTGATTAAGATGAGTAATGGTCTTCTAATATTGCTATTAGACGTTTTGGAATACAATGTATTTATTAAGAACATTTCTCTTTGGGGCCCTCAGGAGGTACAGTGATCATTGTTTTTTAGGCCCTAAAATACTGAAGCCTCAGATTGTATAATGAATGTGTTTACCAGACCAAACATGAGACAGTTTTTGGTTTCATGAACTTTGGGATTGGGTAATAAAGTCTGTAATCACCAATCTGTTTCTGCTTGGGATGAGAAATACGATTCATGATTTAATTCTGGGATAAAATGTCAAAACAGATGGAAACCTCATCCATCTTTCTGTGTTGCAAATCTCTGGGGGCAGTCTCTGCCCAAAGCAGTCACTTACTGCTAAGCACGCGGCGGGCACCTGAGCAGCACGTGCTCGGTTCACTTTCCTCCTGGAGCGTGGCCCACCCCACATTCATCCCTCCTCTAAAAGCCTCAAGCTTGCATCGCACAAGGCTGTGAACATACTAAAAACCACTGAACTGTACATTTTAAGTGGGTGATGTGTATGGTATGTGAATTCCATCTCAATGAAGTTGTCAAGTAAACTTAATCCTAAGGAAATGTTAAATAAAAAATAAACAATTAGGAAAAGAACCCTGAACTTCATACATTAAAGCAAAAAGATTGCTGTCACTCATCAAATTGGCAAAGATGTTTTGGTTTTGGTTTGCGTTGCCTTCCCAGCCTGGCACGTGGTGCTCACTGGGCTCTGGTGTGACAGTCACTCTCATATGTTGCTAGGGTGACGTCAATTGGTATTAAGTCTTTGGGAGAAAACAAGGCCATACATTTCAAGAGCTTAAATGCATTCATATCCTCTGAGATGATTTCTCTTCTACAGCTCTAACCTATGGAAATAATCAGAGATGTTTAAAAAAAAATCTAAGTAAAAGATATTCATTGCAGCATTGTTACAAGTGCAAATAACTAGGGGGGAAAATCTGATAGAACTGCTTTAAATCATGGTAAATCCATGTGACAGAACTGATGTAGCCACTTTCAAAGGACATTTAATGATAAGGGAATGAGCTCAATATAAGGTAAAGTTAAAAAAACAGGATACAAACTGTGCTTTTAATATGATCTCAGTTGTCTAAAACTAAGGTGAGAAGAATGAATACAACAAAATATTAACTGGTCACATCTGCTTGATGGAAACATGGGTCATTTCATTTTCTTCCTCCAACTTTGATTGTCCAAATTTTCCATGTTGAGCATACGTACCTGACTTACATAATCAGACAAAACAAATACTGATGCTAACCCTGAAGGCCAATACATAAGCAGGATGCATCCCACATCTCAGGAGCTATATTTGAGTTAATTAGTAGCTCTTGTAGCTTCTTTAATACTCACTTCAGAAGCATTTCATTGTGTTGCTTAGAGACATACTGCCCACAGCTTTCTTCCCTACTCTCTGGGGAACATTGCTAATCAGAGCTCCTGATGATATAGTTCTTTTCTATTTTCAAACTTCAGAACCACTCTTTTGGATACGTATTTACAAAGCAAGATGGGCTTTTAAGTTAAAGACCATCCGTGTAGATACACACTCCCTGGGCTGCAGACACCAAGAGCCAAAGAGGGGCCACGTTTCAATGGCCCCGGGTCCGGTGTGCTCATTACTGACTCCCATCTCTCCGCCCTGGACCCGTCGGTCCCTGCTCTCGGATTCTGTGCCCACAGCCCACGCACCAACCGTCCGCCTGGCTCTTAGCGCCGCCTCTCCCATCACCTCCAGGGTGATTTTACTCCCTCTTCTATCCGTCTGTCTATTGGAGTTTCACTCTCCCCTCTTCACAGCCTTTCCCTGGCAACTGAAAATGATCTTCTCTTATTTAAAAACAAATGAAACTGCATCCTATTAAAGCAGCTCCCGCCTTCCACCTTCACCACCAAACCCGGCAGACATGAATGCTGCTCCCTTCTCCCCAAACTCAGCCCACTTCTCAGCCTATTTCCATCTGCATCTGCCTCACTGTTGGACCCTAACCTCTATCAGAGGTGACTGAAGGCCCCTAAATGTGAAAGGCAAAGGTTCTTTTTAAGACTCGTGAGACCAGCCACCTGCTCTTCAGTCTGTCCGTCCCTGTTGGGCACGACCACCCACATCTGTGTGCTGTGCTGATGCGATGCCAGGGACCAGGGCAGCCACAGCCTCCCCTGGGCAGAAGCTCAAGGTCTGCAGGAGAGAGCCAGGCGACAAACGAGGGGGGGGGGATCCTCTGTGATGGAGGGAGCCAAGAGAAGTAGTTCTTGCCACCAGGGAAGGGTAGCCTCAGGGAGGAGGTGGGGCCAGAGCAGAGCAGGAAGGATGGGCACTGGGTCAGATGCTGCAGGGAGGGGGGGGGGTGGTCTACAGCTGCCTCAGCACAGAGACCCCCCTCACCAGGAGCCCCTTTTCCTGCACCCCCTCATGTAGCCATCTGCCTAAGAGGGTTCAATCTGGTTTCCCAATACTCTTGCCTTGAGTCTCCCCATTTCCAAGAATCGGCTCCAAGATTCTGTGCCCAGAGCCACATCTCTGCCAGTCTCCCTGTTCCACCCCTTCCCGTCACTTCCAGAGAGACCCTGATCCTCCATCTATGATTCCCTCTGTTAGACGCCATAGAGGGCTGACCTGAAATTTCTCTTCACACTCAACTAATAAGTAGCTAAGTCCTCTGATTCTACTTCTGACAGCTTGTTCATCCCCTGCCACTGTGCTAATGGTTTTAACATTCTCTTCATCCTGTCATTCCCCTGTTCAGCAACAGTAGAGTCCAGAGCCTCCCAAGATCTTCAAAGCCCCATCTTACCTCTCCAGCCTCATCTTCATCTGCTCCCTCTCCTCCCTCCCCGTTCTTCAATCCACTCAACACTCCCACCACCCAGACAACACCTCCTCTCTGGCTTGCTCCTCCCTGTTGACTGGGGTTCTGCTACTCTTCCTTCCAGGCTCATCTCAGATGGCTCCTTCCAGAAGGTTTTCCCAACTCTTCTGCCCTGCCTCTGCCCAGTCTGCAACACTCCATTCTTTAGGGGCATCCCCATGGCACGAGGGGAGGTAATGAGCTCGCGGCATTTATGTGCACGTTTCTCAGCAGTGTGGGCTCCTTGCTGGCCTGGGCTGTAGTGTGTTGCAGAGTCTCACAAAGAGTGATATCCCTAAACTGTTTACTAAATTGAAGTTCTTTCCACTAACTCTAGGCTTTTCTCTGGTATATGCTGAGAAACAGAAGTTTCCCACCCTCTTCTGAAAGCCACATCCACTGGGTCAAACTTGGTTTGGCCAAGGAAAAAACCAAGGTGAATATAGACTACAGTTCATACTTGCCTCTTGCACCCCGGAAAAGGACTCTGTAGTGTTTTTCTAATCGCTTGGCCATGTAGTTGGCATTTAATATAGCAGTTTCTGTGGCCTGTTTAAGGCCCTTGCCTCCCATCATCTGCAACAGATGGAAAAACAGAGCCATCAACCATGGAACAGGTAAACCCAATGGACACTAGCCAAAGACACCCCCAGATAAATCCCACTCACAAAGGAAGTTAGCATGCCACAACTCTCTGGATTGCAGATGAGTGAAATATCCTAACAATGATATCTGTCAGTCCCCTCTAAGCCTGAAATAATTTTTGGTTTTCTCCTTTCAACAGTAATTTTGTATTTCTTACTATAGTAACAAAGCTTAGAACAGGGCAAAATTGACTGTGGACTTTTGTGTTATCTACAGAAGAAAAAGAATTGTTTTTAGGCTACATGCATTTTGGGGAGTTTTCATTTGTTCACTGAATTTGAGATGCCTTGATAATTGCCAGGAGTCCCATGGGATCTTGGTCAAAATCCCCACTGAATCCATTTTGTGTGGTTTATCTTCCAATTGTCTGTAGTCAAGGCTATTTTTGTTTAACAACAGCCAGGTTTGACCATATCATTTTCTGGTGGCTCACAAGTCCCTGTGGTTACATGGGGTGAATATTATCACCAGTAAAGAGCTTAAAACCAAGATTACACCAATTTTACTGCCTACTTTCTTCCCAGAACACCTCATATATGAGGGAGGCTTGACAGCTATTAAATACATAACTAATGTAAAGCAAATGAGAGAGCATAAAATAAACAGCAGGGACCCTGAAGTCCAAAGGAAGGAGAGCACACGTTTTGCCAGACGGTCAAAGAAGGGTTCCTGGAGTAAGAGTTATAACTTGAGTGGAAACTTGAAAATGGGTGGAATTTGGAGACAAAGAGAAAGGAGAAGGCCCTCCAAGTGAGAAGAACGGCAAGAACCAAGGTGTGAAATGGAAGGCACGTGGCTGCAGCCTGGGAGTTGCTGTAGAGCCTGGTGGGTTGGAACTACCTCTTGCAAGCTTCGAGCCCTTGCTGGGCAGGACGTGGACTTGGTTCAGTCAGCCACTGGTTCTCGACCTGTGCATCGGAGTCACCCAGCAGCTTGACAGCCCACGCCCCACCCTGCATATGCTGACTTTGACTCTCTCTGGGATGGGGCCTGGGCAAGTGCATCTTGGAAGAACCCACTAAAGGTTTTGTGCAGGTTAGGGAGAGCCGGCGGCAGAGGCAAAGGGAAGCCAGGAGGGGACGGAGGGCCCTGGTGGGAGTCTAGCAGTCCTGTACAGAGTGTCCAAGCTGGACTGCAGCAGGAAGAGAAGGCGGCAATCTAGTCCAGGTGATACATAATACCAGCCTGAAGTAAAGGGGCCCAACGTCAGAGGGGTAGCTCAAACCCTACTTTATTTACTTCTTTTTTCAACTGAGGCTCTATCTGGTGTTCCTGGCATATGGCCAAACCAGCCTTGGTGCATTTATTCCTTATATGTGGGAAATCCTCTCCAACCCAAATAACATTCCATAACAAATCACTCAGGTTTACAGGACCCAGAGACCAAAAGGAAGCGTGAATTAGATTCTGTTTACAAAGAAGCAGACCTTTATCATAATTGTTTTTGTTGTTAGTATTTGCAAAAAAAAAATGCAAATATCATTTCAAAAAGCAAGTTTTAGTCTCTGGGGTATAGAACTGTTGTTCCAGCTTCCCAGAAAGTTTTCATTAAGAAACATAAATGCCACACTGTTCAAGAATAACAACCAGCCCAGAGGGTCCTCCGGCATGATGTGCACAGCTGGGTTTGGGGTTTGTTTCGCCAGAAGCCTCCCTTCCTCTAGGGAGGGGAGCCATTAGGGAAGGCCGCTTTAATTAGCCGCTGAACAACTAACTATCCAATGCATGCTCTTGTCAGCCCAGGAGGTGGGCAGGCCAGTTTGAAGGAGAGCTGTATAAAATAAACTCCGGCCTGAGTGTTTTTTGGAAAAACACAAAGGAAGGAAGCCTGTTCTCTGACAAAGTCTAATTACCCCCGAGAGCATAGTTCCACAGGCCCAAAAGAGCAAAGAGCTTTGGGAAACCACCACATAAGTGAATTTCTGCTATTGTCATCGTGTCCTCCAGGCTCCCAAGAAATATAAAGTGAAACGAGATGTATTCCTAAAATTTATCCCAGGATCTCAACCAAGTGTAATAATTAGTATGTGTACCGTTTTTCACTTGCAAGGGGCTGTACAAATCCTACAGGAAACCAAATGACGTGGCCAGAACATCCATATGACTCATGGTACTTAACTCCATCTGGAAAAATATATCTGGCGTGTCAGTTTCTCTGATGTTAAATCCACTATGAGAACCCAAAGGAAAACAGCTTGATGAAGAGATGAAATGAACTTTAGCTGATCTCTTTAGGAAGGTTTCTTCCACTCAAGTCATCAGCAGTTTTCACCGCACCACATCTCGGATCATGGATTTCTTCATTTTTAAGTCAGGAAAGAAGTCTGAAGTCTCAGTTCCCCACCCACACACCACACCCCCAACCCGTCTAACACACATTCACAGGCCTCTCACCTTGATATAAGCCCATGAAATGGGCAAGATGGAACTGGAGCCCCACGGGGCCGCGCTGACGGTACCCAAAGGCTGGGCATCTTCGCTTGGCTTCACTGAAATGATGGGATGATTAGGCAGAAAAGGCACAAGATGCTTCTTCCTGTATTTTTTTAAATAAAAATTTAGAAGATGTAAAAAGATCCAGTTCAATCAAGCAGGCAGGTGCTGGGCCCTCTTAGGAAGCTCTGTTCCTAACAGAGGAGCTCTGTCAGTGGAAGGGACTTGACACCTGCTAAGAGGCAGATGTGCAGGAAGTGCTCCTTCCTTCCTCCTCTGGAGGCACAGCTCACCAGCCATCAGCATCCCAGCAGCTCACCCAAGAACCACGGCAGACAATGCGGCAGAGGCAGGCAGCCGTGGACTAGCAAGCAGAGCTGCGGGCTCACGTGGATGTGCAGACATCCCAGCCCCACAGCACCCCCTCCCAGCCCAGTGCCCCACCCTCTTTCCCAAGGCACCTAAGGGATACAGAAGGATGCTGCTGAGAAGAGGCCCTAGGAGGTGACATATCGGAGGCCAGCACGTGACCATCACTCACCCCACCTCCCCCACAGCTGAGACACTGGGACTCCTCCACTTCCTATAAATAATAGTAATCACAAAGGAAGGCAGAAAAAAGCAAGGGGGAAGGCTCCCGGCATCAATGAAGACTGACCCCTCTGGCATATTTTTGGAAGAATGAAAATGCTCAAGAAATGGCTGCTCAGCATCATTTTCACAAGCTGATTTTATTTCACAGTGTAAAAAGGTATCAACGGCTACTTTACTGCTTTAGTCCTACTCTGACTTCATCCAGTTATTTCTAATAATAAGGTGTGTTCCCTCCTAACTTAGATGGAATAAGAATTAAAGCTGCAGAGTGTTCAACATCTTCCACCCAATTCACTTCTGTGTGTGTGTGTATTTGAGAGAACATTTAAGTACTATCCTCTTAGCAAATTTCAGTTATACAATACAGTGATATCAAGTATAGTCACTGTGTTATGCGTTAGATCCTCAGACCTCATTCGTCTTATAGCCGAAAGGTTGTATTGTACCCTTTTACTAGCCTCTCCCTATGTCCCTCCCTGCCCCCCAGCCCTGGTAACTACTTTTCTACAATGAGTTCTTTTGTTTGTTAAGTTAGATAAGTCACTTTTGATGTAACAATCAGCTGATTTAAAAAAGAAATAAAGAAAAGCTTAGAACTCTAAGTTAAAGTCTGAGAGGTACTTCCAAGTGCTGATATTCCACTTCTGCTCCAGAATGCTCCAGCAGAGCTCCCTAATCATTACTCTGTCAGTAAATCCACTCTGTCTATGCATGACTGGGAGCTTAGTGGGGCCAAACACTGTGGTTAATAAAATCTAACTATGCTTTCTCCTTAGACCTAAGCGCCCCATTCACTGCTCCTCACCCAGCCCCTACAGGCATACTACATGTCCTTGACACTTGAAGACCTTGATGAGAAGAGCGGGAAGTTTGGGCCCGACCTTTCATTCTCAGTCTCCAAAGCCATCCTGAAATCAGCAGCCCAGAACTCACACTCCGATGGGCCCCATGCCGGGGCCGCCTCCTCCATGGGGAATGCAGAAGGTCTTGTGAAGATTTAGGTGTGAGACATCAGACCCAAAGTCTCCAGGACGACAGATTCCCACCTACCACAAAGGGAAGGAGCCAAAAGCAAAAGTCAGGAGCATGAAGGGGTGTTCTGGATAGGTGGCCATGCTACTTCCCCTTCCACGGAAAGGCAGGTGGAGCTGTTCCCAGAAATGTCCTTAAGACAGCAATCAAAACAGGCATCCCGGCAGCGTGGCCTGTGGTTTCCATGGAAACAGCAACTGACCATTTAGTCTAATTTAGATTATAAAAAACAGATTTGAATATACAGTCAATTCCTAATTATCCACCCCAAGAGGCAGGAGAGGAAGCACCCCTAACAGAAGAAAGGATAGTACCTCCTCACTATTAAACAGGCCATTTCACCCCAGCATCTCTGACACCCCAGCGCTGGATGTCGTGCACTTTACTGAACAGCCCCTTAGGGCATATGGATATAAAGGGGTGGAAGGCTGTTTGAGAGGATACTGAGCCAAGGGAGAGGAAGGGAGGCTGACAGTTTTCCTGAGACCATCCTGGTACCACCCACAACAGGTGTTCCTGCCTCCTTGGCGTTAGGGCTAATTGTGAATGTGGCCAAAGAGAAAGAATGCATTTATGCTACTGAAGCAACAGACAATCCCTGGACTACTCAAAAGAAATTAGAAGAAAAGAAAAGCAGAAAGACTCCAACATGGTTTAAAACAATTAAATAGGAGGAGGAGGAAAAGGAGGAAAATAAGAAGGAGAGGAAGAAGTTGAGAAGACGCAAAAAAAGATGACTGTCTGTCCTCCAAAGGCTCCCTACAGCGTCCTCTCAAAGGTACACATCACACAGACCGCCCTCCACACCCCCCACCAAGTAGCCCCTCAGGGACAGAGCTATTCAGCTGTTCCACACGGATGAAGCTGAAGCCAGACTAACGGCTGATCCAAGGCCAGGGGAGGTCAACATCCACCAGTAGCCAGACCTGGGGTCTCAGGTCCCTCAGGGAGTCGGGTGACCTTCTTGCCCACAATACCCCAGAGGGACCACACCCTGTGACAAGCTAAGGACATTCCACTCACTCCTGGCTTCCCTTCAACCTTTTTACCTCTTCAGCATCCCCCGTGACCTCCTTAGGAGCTATAAGCTCAGTGAAATTGTGACACATTCTTTGTTTGATGTGGCAATAAAGTCAGGGTCTGTTCTGAACTCAGTGTCATGTTTTAAGACAGCTGTCAAGAGGTCAGAGAAAAAAAAATTTTCTTTTTGATTTTTAACCGTTTTCTCAAGGAGCCCTGTCACGTTGCCCACCTGAGCATTCATATTTGCCCCGTCCAGGTAGACCTGCCCTCCGTGCTTGTGGATCAGGTCACACACCTCTCCGATGTTCTCTTCAAACACTCCATTGGTGGATGGGTATGTAATCATGATTGCTGCCAGGTTCTCCTTGTGTTTATCCACCTGAGAGATTGAAAAGGGTAGAGGGACACAACGGGAGGAAACGTTGCTTTTCTTGGGCAAACTCTTGCTTTTTATTTTAAAGGATTAAGAAAGACGAGGTCTTGGTCTTTTCATTTCTGGAACTGTCTCAACATATGATGACAATAATAAAAGATCCACAGGCAATTCTCCCTTCATAAATCATTGCAAAGAAATAACAAGATCCCTTCAGGCTAGGTCTCCATGGTCAAGACCAAAAAACGGTTCAGAAGATTTTTTGATATTTTGGGCCCAACTCTCTAAAGTAGTTTTCTTTTGTCTCAGACCATCTTAATAATTATTTCAGATCTTTTTGGTTCCAGACAAGTTTATTCTTACAGTTAATCTCTCTCCCTCAGCTCATCTCACCATATCCACCCTTACCCCATTTCCCTCCCATTCTACTGAAATTAGAATTCCCACTAAGAGTGTTCTGCTCTGATTTAAAAAAAAAAAACTCCTTAATTTTTCCTTTTGACAGAAGGCAAGTATATATAAAAGGCATGTTCCTGTGTTTTTTGACCAGCAAGTCAGAGTAGGCTCAAATGGAAATGAGAAAAAAAACCCAAAAACTAAAGTTCACATCCTATACTGGAGAGACTTAATAATCACAACTACTGGCCCAGAAGATTTATCAGTAAAAACTCTGTGGGGCAATGGAAGGGTGAAGCGGATAGGAGAATTGCGCAGAGTTGTGTATTTTCATCTTCCCTGTGAAGGCAGTTATATGAAGTTCTCAGTCTCCATGCCTAATAACCCCGACAAAATCACATTGCTATTCAACTGATTTCCTTCCCTCTTAAGATGCAGCCTCCAGTCCACCAGTGGAAAGCAGATACGGTTGCTAGGCAACCTCTTCCTGGAGGTTGGGAGGTTGGGAGTGGGGGTTGGTACTGCAGGAAGGAGGATGGAATATATGGAATATTGCCTGAAAATCAGCAGGTAATGGCTGGGACCATCACCAACATCCGCAAAATCTACACTTATGTTTTAATTCCCAACACAAAGATTGAGAATAACCGTGACTGCCAATTTGATTGTTAATGGGGGAAGGAAGGTAAGGTTGGGCAGGAGGCAGACAGATCCTGCAAGGAATACCCTTACTACCACCATGAATAATTCATTTGGTTTGTTACACATGCACACATTAGAGAAAGGGATTTCAGTTTAAAGGACCTTCTCCTTGTTAGTGAAGGAAGAGGCAAAAGTAGGCTATGGTCAGCTTTATTCTGGACCAAGAATGTGACTCCTACTTTTATTTTTCTTATAGAGGTGGCTAGGTTTTCTGATTTTACGCTATTTTCCCTAGAACAATTCAGAGGAGGAACTTCAGTCTTTTAATTAGAACGCAAAAGAAGATAACGTTGACATAAACCATCCAGTACCTGCCCACCACGTCTTTCCAACCCACATCACCCCCATCTGTTAAGGGTACCATGGCCTTGAGGTGAGCTGCATCGATATTCCCGTATTTATCCACCTCCACAGGCTGAATCTTCATGCCTGCCATGTGGGCACTTGCAGGATTGGTCCCATGTGCGGATTTTGGAATGAGGCAAACCTTAGAAGTGGAATGAAAAGAAGGAAGTAGAAAAAAAACCCATCACCTTCAGGCTATTCATTATGACAGAAAAATCCTAGATGATGCTTGGAGCTCAAATTCAGTGGGTGCCACACGCTCCATTTAAACTGACTGGTGGTGCCTTAAAATGTGCTACAATCTCATTATTACTGCATTGCAAACAATGTCCAAAAAGGGAGCTTACACTTCAATCCCCAAATATTGTTCCTTAAAGACTTCAGAATATTAACACTCTCCTCACGTAAGCCAACAACACCAAAAACAGGCCTAGGCTGACTCTAACCTTGTCTCAGCTATAATATATAGAAAGAACATGATTTTGGAAGTTAAACTCTAGGATTCAGATGCACACATCATAGCTTCAGTGCTGTGCTTAGCTCTGCTGAGATCCAAGAGAGATAACCACGGACCTATTCCAAGGCCTCCCAGTGCCAACACACCAACGGTGTCATCATTTATTGGATGCTTCCTCTGTGCAACGAAGTGTTAGTTGCCACGAGAACCATAACTAAGCACAAATGCCCATCAGCCCCAGCCCTGTGCTCACACAACGCATTCACTGTCAATGCTGTCATCCATAGAAATGAGAGAGGGTGTCACATCAAGCTGAAGAGATCAAGAGAAAGTATCTCAAGAGCTAGAACCTAAGCTAGAGCTTAAAGACATGTTAATTCTGTGGAAGGCGGATGGTGGGCACAATGTTAGAATTCTCAGATTTAAATCATTTCATCCTCCCCCCAGATCACATGAGCACAGGTGAACACACATGCTCTGGCAGATCTGATGATGTCCCACTACAGGAAAGTGCATCCTGGAGTTTCTCCCAACAGAAAGCAACACAGAGAAGCAATGTGCACTCTGAAACAATCTTCTTCTGTTTTAAATCCCAGAACCAATATTGCCACCTCTTGAAGAGAAATGGTCATCACAAAAATGGACTTACGAAGGGGAACTCAGCTTACTGCTGTTTCCTCAAAAACAACAAAGTCCTCTACTTAAGCAAAATGCATGTGTATCCAAAGAGAACTGTAAGCAAAGCAAACATGAAATTACCTTGTTGTTGTTCTGCCGACAAAGTTTGTGCCTCTTTTGAATGGTTACTGGTCTCTGCTGGTTACACTGTGTTTTCCTCAAATCCTCTGCCTTGTTTAAATGTTTCCCTTTTGTATTAAATTCTTTTAATTTCTCAGGACCAAAGCTGGAGTTACTTGTCCTTTCCCACAAGGTATTTTTAATCTACCCAAGGAACTCTGGATAGAAGGATCCCTTCTGGACAGAACATTGATCAAGGAAGGGGAAGGTGACTATTAATGGCCTAAATGAAGAATTCATACCAGAGAAGTTCTGATAAAACAAAAGCATTCAAGCTTGAAATGTCACTTATCCTGTGATACACTGAATAATGGGCCCCCAAAGATGTCCACATTCTAATCCCCAGAATCTAGTAATGTGACCCTATCTGGCAAAAGAGACTCTGCTGGTGTGAATAAAGACAGTGAGGAGGGATCTTGAAATCTGGATTATAGGTTGGGCTTTGAATGTATTCACAAGTGTTCATCAGAGGCAGGCAGAGGAAGAAGAGATGATGACTGAACAAGTGGTTGGAGTGATGGCAGGTCGGGGCCATGAGCCAAGGAATGCAGGAGGCCTCCAGAAACTAGAAAAGGCAAAGAAATGGACTCACTCCTGGATCCTCCAGAAGGAACCAGCCCTGTCAGTACGTTGACTTTAGCCGAGTGAAACCAATTTCAGACTCCTAGCCTCCACAACTATAAGAAAATAAACCTGTGCTGTTCTAAACCACTGACTTTGCAATAATTTTTTACAGTAGCCATGGGAAACTAGCACACACCCTGATGTAAGGATTAGTGGAAAGAAAAGGTCTCAGTGGTTCTGTCAGTGACTTGTTGCTATTGGACATTTCTGAATTTCTATATGGCTTTAGGAATTTAATTAACTATCTTTTTAAAATATTAATTCTTCCTCACTTTGAAACTGTGGTGTTGCGAGGGACACAGAAATAATAAGACTCAGACTTGCTGTTTTATCCAACACTAACCCTCTTTGGTGCATTTATGTCAACTTAGGTGGATGCTGTATTTTTTTAACTCCCCACTGTGCCTGGCATAGACCCAACACAGCTCACCCTCAGAAACTTGCTGAATGAGTGAAGGATTAAGGAGGAGCACTCCCTTATAAGGGAAATCAATTTTTTACCACCGGTAAAATCTAAAAACCAAATCTCACTACTTTACCTCAGGCAGTTGAGAAGAGAAAAATACGTACAAGTTTTAGGGGGTTTTTTTGGGGGGGGGGATTAGTGTTTTTTGTTTTTGGTAAAATGTTTTCCCTTTGTATAGGAAATTCAGTCTCAGATCAGCAAATCTGAGTTAGTATGTGACTAGAAAATTGAGTTATTAAGTATAAAATATTTAGGACAGTGGCTAGCACACAGTAATTTCTATAGTAAGTGTTAAATAAATTTGTATTCTCACAAATTAAACTGGTAAATCAAGAACTTGGACGGTGCATTATAGGAAACTCTGAAATTTAACCTAACAGTAAATGTGAAAATAACTTTCAAAAATGAAAGAATTTTTGAAATCTTTGAAACAAAAGAATCATCAAGAACTCAGGAGGTTCTGTAGCACATGATTTCCCCACACTCCTTAAAAAAAAAAAGAAGGATATATTTTCCTAGATTCCACTAGCATCTACTGTACCAGAGCAGCTGTCTCAGATGTCTCTGATGTGGAAAAATCCTTCCTGATTATTTTCTTTTTCTCCAACTAAAAAAGTCAGTTTTAATTAAAATCTTTAATCTAGAAAGGATGCCAACATTTCCAGACTCAAGAGTTCTGTATTTCTACAAGCTCCACGGCTGGGTAGCCTTCCCTGCCTCCCCACCTCCACCCCCAAGAATGCAGCATTCCGCTCTTCTCCACCCTTCAGAGTGGAATCACCTCTCGCGACACTTCGGTGTTAGCAGTGTGCACAACGGTGCCAGAAGCATCATCACACACACGGGGACAGAGAGAGGGGATGACTGGAAGAAACAAAGAGAAGGAAAAGGAGCTAAAAAGAATCTGTGAGTCACAGAAGCACTCTTCCCAGGCCCAGTCAAGGTAGCTCATCTTTCTCCTTAATCTTTCTGGTTTGGTCCCCAACTCCTGGACATTCCCAGATACTTCCTGATGTCAGACTGGGGAGCTGGGGAAACGTGAGGGGTGGGAAGCCTCAGAGTGGAGAGAGCCTGGATTTCAGCTGGCCTTTTGTCGTTAACTGGTCACTGTCCTTCTACAAGCAGCACAAAGTGGGCCTCGGAGCCCTCTCTGCAAAGCAGGGGCAGGAGTGGAGTGGGGCAGGGGAGCGACATGCAGATGGTCACACAGATCCCTCCCCAGGATCCCCAGATACCTCGTGGTTACAGAGCATAACAATGAGGCATTCTGGGGGCTACTCAGTACTCGGAAGCCATGCAGGAAAAACAGAAAAGGCAACTTTACATGTCAGTTGTCTGGCATCCTCTCACGGGACAACTGAAGCCCCGACGTTTCCTTTCTGACTCTGTGACAGACATGAGACTCTGAGGTCCAAAAACCAATTACAGTTCTAAATGAACCCTTCCTCAGAAAGTGAAAGAATTTAAAACCACGAGAAAACCCGAGTGAAAAAACCAACTGAGGTGTCAGGGACTGTGTCTGCTTCATCGCTTGATCTCCCTTCAGACTGGCAAACACAGTGTCTTGTATGTGGCCAGTATTCAATACCTATTCAAACAATAAATGTCTTATTTTTCAAAGGCCTTGGAAAATCAATTCTCTTACTCAACCAAGGCAAAGGTCTGGGAAAACACACCTGTGGAATCAGGATGGATAAGCAAGGGAAGGTGGGGGAAAATGTTTTTTTCTTCCCTTTTATGAAAGGGAAGTGAAACAGAATTTAATTCTTCATTGCAAAAATCCAGGCAACCAGCCATCAACAATAAAGCCAGGAATGGACTAAGACTGGGACCCTTCACTGCATCTCACTTATGTGAGCAGCCAGAGCCACCCCAGCACCCTTTTCTCTAACTCTCCTGGGATGGGCAGATACTTCTGCCCTGCTCCTGACTCCTACCCACTGCATCCTCTAACCCTACCTCCACGGATCATGAAGTTCAAGTCAGCGTAGCCATCACCAATATGAAGGCCCTGAGAACGTGAGCCTTCGTCAGTCACAATCTGAAGCCTGTGTCCTTAGGTCCACTGCTATAGGCACCGCCTCTGGGGACTTGTGGAGGCCCCACGAGCCTAACAGCACCTGCTGGTCCCCACAAGGCCCCCACGAGCACTGTGGACCCTGGAGAATGGACTCTCTTACCCAAAGCAAACAATGAAGCAGATCTGTGAACTCTGCTCCAGGTCTTCTTTTGTTGCTTAAGGCAGAAAATCACTTAATAGGGAATTTATTTATTCAATAAATATTTTTTGAGCACACATATGAACAGAACTGTGCTCAGGCACAGTAGGAGTCACAGAAGAACGAGAGCTCGGTCTCTGCCCTCCGTCCAGGCCTAGGGCCAGGGCTGAGCCAAGGAGGGCGGCTTAGAATGGCAACATTCCTGCCCCTTCCTCCCTCTGCTCCCTCTGGAGAGCAGGTCCACAGCCAGCTGGCTGACTGCTACAGACTGGGTTTGAGAGAAAGCCTTTTATCTCCTAATGTTTTCCCTCAAATTGGTCCAGTGAAACGTCTTGGAGGCAAGGATTAAAATAGCCAGTTCATAGACATTTGTTTCTTGATTACATGTTTCCTCAGCATCTTCCAAGAAAGCTTGGAGGGAGGGTCCCACAGAACAAAGGGACCCTAAAGCTGAACGCGCTGCCCTCCAGTGGTGAGCAAGCACCGCCCGACCACACTCACCGTTCTGTGTTTTTCTCCTTTCCCATCCAAGTAGGCTCGGATAGTGGCCAGCCCGGCGTATTCCCCCTGAGCTCCACTGCAGAGACAGGAAGAGAAGGATCAGGGCTCTGAGCCTCTCTGCTTTTATTTACTCATTCAGTGTTCATCAGGCACGGGCTGCATGTTCACCAACATGGGACACAAAGTCCTCCCCGAACGACACCATGGAAAGCTCACCTAGGACCCCTACATGAGCCTAAAGTCTTGAATAACCAGAGAACAGCACCCAGTCTGTGCACTAAAGCTCACCTACTCCCACTCAGAGATAGAATTTCTACCCTCGCATGGGACCATGCACCTAAAAATCTTTTTTATTTTGGAAAAATCCCAAAATTGTGCAAAAGCAGAGAGAAGAAGGAACTACCATGTACCTATCACCCAGCTTTAAAAATGATCAGATTATGGACAATCATGTTTCCAGCCATCTCCCTCACTAATAACCCCCTTCACTCTGAACTAGATTACCCTGAAGCAAAATGCAAGCATTTCATCAATTCTAATTTCAATATGTATCTTACAAATAATTTTTTAAAACGTAACTGTAATTATCACACCTAAAACAATGAACAATAATTTCTTAATATCACCAAATGTTTAGTCTAGATTGGATTACCCCAGAGGAACTATGCCCTCTGAGCGAGGCACCACTCAGTCTCGGAGCCGGCTTTCCCAATCCCCACATGCACATGGCTGCTAGACGCTGGCCATACCCATCTCAGCAGTCCTTGAAGGCACCACTTTCAGAACACACTTAATGACTAACATTCCAGTGAGGGATGCTGAGTCAATCATAAACTGTTACTTAATGTTCTCGGTTCTCTCTGCAGGAAGGAAAGGGAAGTGAGTAATAGGTTTTTTAATCCCATTCAAAATGCCTATTTCCTCCATTTCGCAAAATTACACCATCTTTTGACTCTGTGGAAGGCCCAGTGGTTTTGGCGTTCATCCCTTCTGGTCACCCCGTAATACTGAGATCATACTCTGAAAAAGCACAAGGCTTAAGAATAAATTAGATAAACTTTGTTTAATTTCTAAACTAAAATCTAAAATTTTGAGCATGGGTAAATATTTTTTGAGGATGCTTGGATGGAACCAGTTGAATGTGAAATATTTGCAAACTAATGTAGGAGCATCAATGGTTTGGTGTCAGGAGACAGTAAAATTGACGATTTAGGGCTCAGCATGAGGAGAGGACATAGAACAGGGAAACTTTTGGGGGCGAGGGCTTAGAACTTGCTTGGAGAAAGGGAAAGAAAGTGCTGATTTCCTCAGTGTGGGCGCCACAGAGCAACAGAAAGGGTAGATGAGTTGAGGAATAAAAATAGTAAGAAAAACTGCTCCATAAACTAGGCACTTCCTACTTACCAGGCACTCAGCACAGAGTAAACACAGGTAAATGGGAACCATTGTTGCTGTCACCACTAAGCATTTTACATCATCTTATTTAATCCTCCTAATACCCCCATGAGGTGGGTACCATCATCTTCATTTTGCACGTGAAGAAACTGAACTCAGAGTATCACATGCCCAAACGGCCAACAGTGACAGCCGGAGACATCAGTACAAGTCGGCCCATCTCAAGGGGCCTCATGCTTTCCTTGTAAGCAGTGAGTCTCCTCTGAGCACGCTGTGCTTTTCCAAAGGGTTGAGAGTCGTGGGAGCAAACACTGGCTTTCCTTCAGAGAACCCTTGCCTGACTGAGGTTCACCTGCATGTAAAAGGCCTGTCCCCATAAGACCTGGGGCACCCAATTCCTCATCACCCACACGGAGGGAGCTTTGCCTCTCTCCTCTCTCTTCCAGAGAGGGAGGCAAACACTGATCTTCTGTGTTTCAGGCTTCTGAAAAACAAATTCTAGCTCATTTTATGTTCTTTATTTTGAGAACAAGAAAATAAATCTACCACTCTCCAGCAAACCACTCACACCACCACCTAGCCTCTCTGTGTTCTCATTTCTGAAATGCACATAATTGCACCCAAATCGACGGGCAGATGTGATGAGAAGTGTGCTCATGGTAAAGGGCTTTCCACAGTGCCTGGCAAAGGTAAGTGCTCGTTAAGTACCAGCAGCTATCATCACTGTCATCATCATCCTCATCATCTTCATCACCAACTTCAGCCACCAACCCTGATCACTCTGCAACTCAGGCACTGAGGATGGGCTACCACAGCATTTGAATGAGCAATTCCACAACCCTCAACCTCTATTCCCCTCCCTCTCCCCTCCTCCTAGCCAAATCCATCCATTTTTCAATTCATCTCCCAACTCAAGTCCTGCCTCTTCTGCAAGGCCTTCCCCAAAGTCACAAACCCAGCTCCTCGCCATGGCTACAAATCCCCAACATGATCTGTGGCTGGCTGCCACCCCCCTCTCTCCTGGCTCACTATCCTCCAGACACCCAGGCTTTCCTCCTTCCCTGAAACAGGTCAAGCCAATTTCTGCCTTGGAGCTTTTCACTACACGGTCCTGCTTGGAAAGTTCCTCCTCTAGATCTTCACATATCTGGCTTCTTATCAATATTTAGGCCTCACCTCCTCAAAGAGGCCTCCCCTGAAGGCAGAAATCTTATCTGTCTTGATCAGCATAGTATCTCTGTGCCAAGAACACTGACATAGGAAGTGTTCAATAAATATTGACTGATTGATTAACTGACTGAATTATTCTTTACCTCCTCCAAACTCTCATAGTATTTTCCTGTACTTGCTCTTCTGAAAATACCATCCCATTTACATAGTGTGCACTGAAAATTATTACAGATCTCACCCTCACTTTGTGTGCTTATCTTATTTCAGTTAGAGTACAGAGGCTTTGAGGACAGAACCTAGGTGCTAGAGTTCAGTATACACAAACTAGAACTGTGCCTGGAGTAGCTCTGCAATGATTGTTTAGTCAGTTTGTTCAACACTGAGTTCTCTAGTCCAGACCGTCAACATTAATGTCATCCTTTCCCTCATGCAAAGAGACTTCAACAAATTGGTTTTGTATTTCCCTCTGTGTTTTCTCATAACTTCTGTCCATCTTGTTTTATTGGAAGACCAATCAAGGTGTTTAGACTAGGAATGAAAGTAGAAACTGGAGTTAGGGGCCGGTAATCCAAGAGAAAGGCAAGATACTAATGACTTGGTCTGAAATGCTGAGTGTTTTCTGCCTTATATACTCTTAAAATCAGCCATGTTTCTACTCAAAAAGTACAAAGGTAAGTTTCTAAATGCCACACAAGGATTATCACTGGGGTACTGTGAAAATAAGGGGAATTATTAGCACCACCTGTTGGTGAAAAGTATTATGGAAAGTAACTGCTTGGCTGCATAACCAGCATTGAGAACCCATCAGAAAAATACTCCATGTGGAGGGGCAGCTAGGAGAGAGGTCTTCTGACATCGATTTAGAATGAAATTGGTGGTGGCCTGGACCTGCAAAGCCAGCCACAGAATGGAGGATACCAGTGGATGGGGAGCCTCAGACCCACAGAAGTGCCAAGTGAGCATTAAGTTTAAACTGTCTGAGAAAAACAAGGCCTCCAGTCACAGCATTTACTCAGGCTGGTTAAAAAAAAAAAAAAAAAAAAAAAAAAAAACCTGCTACACACTGTACTGTTTAATACAGACTGAGTGAGAACTAGCAGACAAATTCTCCCCAAACCCAGACTCATACTACAAAGAGTCCACAAGAAATCCAGTAGACTAGAAGGAGCTAGAACAACTGTATAAAAAGTACAATGACCCAAAAGGTGAAAATAAGTTGGGGCTGATGGGATTAAACAGTTTTGCAATGATTTAAACCTAGGCCCTGTTAGCATCGTGTATCATTGTAGGTGTGGGGTTTCAGGACAGCTATTCAATATGAATTTAGCACAAAAATTAATAAAATGGGGGGAGGGGTATAATATATTCATGTGATTTTTTAAAAAATTCACCAATGCAGAAGGGAAGAAGCTTAAGGTAGAAAAAAAAAGCAAACTCTTCCCATTCTTCCCAGTCTTTGTCCCCAAAGAGAAGCACTACCAATAATTTCTTGAGATATATAGTATTTTGATGTTGGACATTTTAATGCCAAAATGCCCTCATCCAAGCCCTTCTTTACTTTAAAAATATCATCATCAACTGGTTAGGAACAAAAATGATCCAAGTGAAATGTTGGCTAAGAAACTGACAATATGGTAAAACTGATCCCAGTAAAATAATTGCAACAGCCACTATGTCAAAATGACCTGAATCTGTGCATGGTAACCTCAGAGGGCCACTCTCAAGAAAACAAGGTGAAAAATTAGCACTGACTCCTATCTTACAGGCAGGATAAACAAGGTATGCTTCCACATCTTGGAAACAATTTTATTTTAAACAAACTCTGTTGCATACCTCAAGTATCCCAAACACTATCTTTATGCCTCTGCTTCTATTAGCTTAAAATAAAAACCCCTCAGCATGTTCCCACCAACCTGTATCTAATCTGACATAAGCTAAATTCTATGCTTTGCCTTTGAGTTCTGGGCAAAAAACATCTGGATAGATCCAGCCATACTAATCTTTCTGATCTCTCATGAACACCTGAAAGCAATGGTTTTCTAACTCAAAGTCCCCAAACATCAGCATCACCTCAGGACTTGTTAGAAATACAAATTTTGGGATCCCACCCTAGGTGTACTGAGTCAGAAATTCTGAAGGTGCAGCCAAGTGTGAGGACCACTGTTCCAAAGCCTTACAATCTACAAAAATCCAAATATACTCTTCAAAGTCAAGAAAACTGGAGGAGGGGAGGTCCTTCTCATTGCTTTGTTTTTCTCCATAGATGGTTTTCTTCACCCTTCACCTTTCTTTCTCTTCTTCATAGCATTCTGCGTGTCTCTTTGGGAAAGTCATAGTCACTAATCAGAGAGGGTCTCTGGTATCTCGCCTCCCAGAGCTCTCTGTAGGGGAGGGTTTTGAAGCTGCACTAGGCTCAGTAGGAAAGTGAATCAGAGACTCTTAATGAAATAAATCTACACAGACACTGACCATGAGTTCAGGAAAGAAGGAGAGGGAGATGGCCAAATCGAA